TAGTTTTTTTTTTTTTTTTTTTTTTTTTTTTTGCAGTGGGTTTTGTCTCCAAAGTACTTTAACTTTCCGCTTCCTATAACACTCACCATGATTCATATGGGCTTTTCTGGGACCGTGGCATTTTTTCTTGTTCGGGTCTTTAAGGTGTGTTATTGCATCTTGCTGTGTTGTACTTTGGGAATATGCTACTTTTTGCTGATTTGTGGTCAATTTTATTGCCTCTTATAGTCAATGTTGGCTTTATTTTGACCAAAAGGTTGTTGAATTGTGTGCTGAATTTGTAGAGAGGATGTTACTGTGCTCTTGGGTGGAATGTAGGCTTTGATCTTGATCGCATCTAGGGCCTAGGAGCACCTCTATCATTTTCAGTTTGTTAGTGTTACCACAATTTTATTTTTCTTTTCTCTTGTTGGGGGCATCTCAATGATGTGATTTCTGAAACCTTATTTTTATACATACATCATACATGTATGTGTATTTGTTGATTTTAGTGTTTCACTTTCATTAGGACGCGATCCTCGCGCCATTCGCAAAGCCCCTCCTCTGTACTAGAGCTTTTACTGCCGTCCTTCCACTCTTATTTTAATCACTTCCACTGTCTGAATTTGATTGGTATTATTACCTTAATTTATATTGTTTTTCTCTGCATTGCAGGTTGTATCCCCGGTCAAAATGACATTTGAAATGTGAGTCTGCCTTTGGGTTGAAGCCTTTTTAAGCTTGTTCTCCTTGGACCAACTTATTTCTTAAACACTTTCTTCTATTGCAGATATGCAACTTGCGTGATACCAATAAGTGCCTTCTTTGCATCAAGTCTTTGGTAAGCAGTAAGCACTACAACATGGACAAACTGAAGCTTTTCTGAATTGGGAATAACTTAATCCTCTGATTTGATAATGGGAGATATTTCTGTCGCTTGTATTTTCTAACTCTGTATGATTCGACAAGTGTATGTGAAAATTTAGTGAAATCTCAAAACTATCATTATTATGTTATTCATCTAAAATTTAGCTCAGTCTGGTGTGGTTCATTCTACTTGATTGGTCTTGGATGGTTCTTGACTGTGGTTTTTTTCTCTAGCAGTTTAGGGACCTAACCAGTTTCCAATTTAACTAATCAGTTTGATCTGTTTTTCAAAACTGTTTTATTGTAACCCCAGAGGACTTTCTAATCTTAGGTGGATCTTCTTTATTGCTCTATTTTCATGCTTATACCTTGTGTAATATTGTTTTTCTAAACAATATGTTTATGGTTTTTTCAGGTTTGGTAACACAGCTTATTTGCATATTTCTGTAGCTTTTATCCAGATGCTCAAAGCTCTGAGTACGTTTTTAACAAACTTGACATGCTTTGCTTACTTGTCTGTGTGATGTTTTCTTAATTCTAAAACTTGATATTTCAGTGCCTGTGGCTACATTTCTTGTGGCTATTATGTGTGGCACCGACAAAGCAAGGTGTGATGTGTTCTTCAACATGTTGCTGGTCAGTGTCGGAGTGGTCATTTCTTCCTATGGAGAAATCCATTTTAATGTAGTTGGTACAGTTTACCAGGTCACCGGCATCTTTGCTGAAGCTTTTAGACTGGTCTTAACACAAGTCCTTTTACAGAAGAAGGGCTTGAATTTAAATCCTATTACAAGCTTATATTACATAGCTCCATGCAGGTATATTCTGAAGATTTCTTCAACTAGTTTTCTGTACAGATAAATAATAATTAAGTGATTCAGTCTTTGCTGTGGTCTTATTAACTTACCTCGACAGATTTCTCTGTTCCTCACTAACCAAGTAACCATACAATTCATGCTCTTATGGATCGGGGAATAACTTTTATCAATGTTGATATATTTTTCTCTATATATACAGTTTAGTAGATAATTCTGTTGTTAATACTGATTTTTTTGTAATGTACCTGCATAACATGCACACTTGTGAGTAATATGAAATATGCACCCTTTCTTGTATGTATATATGTATATATCTGATTTATCTTTATTAATGTTATTATGTTAAAAGAATATGTGATGTATGGAGTATCAATTCTTGCACATCAACAAACCCCAACATCCCATGTGATCTGATCATTTTGTACTTTGTTATATGCAGTTTTGTGTTTCTCTTTGTGCCTTGGTACCTACTGGAAAAGCCCATGATGGAAGTTTCACAGATTCAGTTCAATTTTTGGATCTTCTTTTCCAATGCTCTGTGTGCTCTAGCCTTGAATTTTTCCATTTTCTTAGTAATTGGTAGAACTGGGGCTGTAACCATCCGAGTTGCTGGAGTGCTTAAAGACTGGATATTAATAGCCCTTTCAACCGTTATATTTCCAGAATCGACAATCACTTGGCTGAATATAATTGGCTATGCTATTGGTAAGTTTTGTTTGAAATGATCAAATATTTTTTAATCTTCCTCCATCCTCATCCTTACATATTTTTACCTGCAGCACTATGTGGAGTTGTGATGTACAATTACATAAAGGTTAAGGATGTCCGAGCCTCTCAATCACCTGAAACTATTCCAGATCGAATCACAAAGGTATCTTCTTGACATAATTAGTATTTATATTCGAGTCAATGTGAACTTATTATGCATGGTAGCAACTAGCAAGAGTAAGATCATGAAATTTTTCTTGCTCACATTTTAGCAGTCATTTTAATTCTAGTTTCTTAATCTGGTATCATCAAAATCGATTGACATACAGGACTGGAAATTCGAGAAGAGGTCATCTGATTTTTATGTGCCAGATAGTGTTAGTAACAATGGGGGAAGTGGTGGAGGCAATGGTTCTCTTTCTGATATAAACATTGATGAAGAAGCACCGCTAATTTCTTCATCAAGGTTGTCTCATATTGGACGCATGCAGCTAACAAACTATGCAACAGGAAAATAAAAACCAAATACAAGATTCATTTTGGAGAAAGAACAAGAAAGAGGAAGATGGGTCAAATGCACCATTCCTCTATTCTTTTGAAATAGTATGCTCTATAACCGAATCATGGATGCTTGCTCTTTGTAATCACATTCATGCGTTGATCCGTGATTTCAGACCACAATGGGGGACCAATTCTCCTCTAAATTCCTATAATAATCGATTTTAATTCGTAACCAGCATTGGTGGCACAAAACTGAAAGCACTGGTTGGTTTTCTTCGAAAAGGTGGGGGGTGTAGAATAACTTTACTCCCTTGAGCGGATTTAGTTAACTTATAAGTCAAAGTCAAGGTTCAAAAGCAATTTTCAGATACCATGAGTCCTTAATAGAAAGAAAAAAATAAAACCAATTTGATTAATATGATTGGCACCATAAATTTTTTAAATCAATTCTAACTCAAACTAGAGATGCAAATTCAAATTGAATCTATATTAATATATAAAAGAAATATTCCTTTTTAGTAACTAATTTGATTTTCACATTTAATAGATTATTAAATCTTTCTATTGTTAAAAAAATTTAATAAATTAATAATTTTTTTTAATAACTATCATTCTCTTTTAATAATTACTTTATTATTTTTGTTATTTAATAATCTCAATTTTATTTTATTTTTTATTTTTAAAATAAAATATAGAAGCAAGATCTCACTAGTTTCAATTAAATGACTAAAGAAACTAGTAAGGGATTGGTTCTTTTACCTGTGGTTTGGTCAAAACAAAACCAAAAAAAAAATATGTTCATTGTCACATGCCTACATGGACTTGGCACCATCTATATTAATATATAAAATAGATATCCTTTTTAGTAATTACTTTTATTTTTATATTTAATAAATTATTATATTTTTTATTATTAAAACATTGGTATTTTTATTAAATTCAAGATTGAGATTTAAAGACAAACTGCAATACTAATTGAACTAATATGCTTTTATTATTTAATTTTATATTTTTTTATTTCTCAATCTCACTAGTTCATATAATCACGTTATATTTTGTAACTCCAATTTGAAAGAATTTTTTAATCGATGTACACGTTCATTGTGTTATTGTGAAACCGTCAAATATCATCTTACTTTCAACATGTATTTTATTTATTTAGTAATGAATAGTGTTCTTTTTTTAATGAAAAGTTTAGAATAAGGTATTGATTCCATGCAATCAAACCAACAGTTACAATGTTATTTATGTCTAGTAAAGTTACGCAGTACCAGTAAATAACAATCCCAGTTTAATGTTCTGGTTGTAGGGAGATACCCTTGGTCCTCGATTTTAATTTAAAGAGTAGAGCAACTAGTCTTGCACGTTGTTTCTCATTCAAAGATGGGTTAGGTAACCGGATAATACGAGAGAAACAGACCGTACAAATATTACGATCTGCAAATGAATTGCTCCTGACAATCCATGACTACAATAGGACTGGCGACAAACAACCCATCATATAAATGATGACTAAATGCACGTTTGGGTAGTACTTATTTCAGGAATATATATATAGTTTATACATTCTATTAAAATGATAAAAAAAAAAGTTATCTAAAATAAGTTAAACGAAACAAATCAAGTAAAGGGACTTAATATGAACAACTGCAAGCCCAACTCTGAATGTAATTTACAAAACAAATCCACCAAACAGTTTCGAATGCAAGCATATTACAGGATAAAAAAAATAACGAAGACGGAGAAATCTCCTTTGAATTAGACATATACAGAACGAATTTCACAGTATTACTTTCTCTCTAGTCCTACACTTTTGGAATGTTACATAAAGAAACATGGCACTCAAGAAAAGCAGAAGGCTCTCGTGTGATTTAACATAAAATCACAAACAGGGTATGCAAGTGTTTATATGTTTAATTTAATTAATTGAAGAGACCAAAATAATGCCACCAGACAGCAATCCTCTAACTTTCCATTAACGAGAACAAGAATCAAGTTGGTAGGACTAGGGAAGTTCACTCTTGTTCAAATATAAGAATTAATCAAAATGATCTCCACTCCTTGCATACAAGAGCCTCCTGGTGGGAACTGGAGGTGCCAATCCGGGGATATCCCTAATATCTTTGTTGTGGGGATTCACAATCTACAAAAGATATTGCCAGTTAAATTAGAAGCTTAAAGTCAGCATTGTACACAAATGATACATTTAATAGTGAACAACTAAAATTCAATGTGTCGAAAAGTTATTGAACATTAGCATTTCAATAGGGAATCACTAGTGTGGATCATCATACAATATTAAGTTCTCACCACTTTAGTGTTGTATAATGAATTAATGATTTACCAAATTAAGTTATTTCAAAGATATCCTGTAAGAATGCTTCTTTGAAATAAATTATTGGGAGCATCTTAGTTTAACTTCCCAAAACCTGTAACATTATTTGAGAAGAAAAAGATTTCCACATCGCAACAAATTCATCAACGTAATGGATGAAATGAACATGATACCTTCACGACAATAATGGCAATTACACCACAGACGATAAGGAACAGGAAAAGCATGATGCACTTGTCTGTAGCTACCTGATAACAAGGAAAGACAATTTAGTTCCAAGACACCGATTTGACGGAAAATAAATAGAGTGCATGGAAGCAATGAAAATGAAGCAACCTGTCTACCAATCTCCTTAACAAGTTGGGAGGCCTTCTTAATTGAGAACTGAATTGAATCAAGCTCATTAACAATACGGCCCATTTGTTCAGTCTGCATAATTTATATAGACAGAAACAGAGGTCAAATTTGCTATGACTTGCTCTTCCCTTCATATAGCATGCTCAATGTAGATCAGACTTACTTGGCCTTTCAAGGTAGTAGCAGTTTGGGTGCCAACTTCAATTGTTTGATGTACAACCTACATTTTGGCAGGGGTAAGAACAAAGGTCCAGGATCAATAGAGGTGTAAGTAATCAAGTATATGTGACCCACCTGCTTAGATCTCTCAATAGCCTGATCAGTTTCATCCATTGTCTTCGTCCCAGCATTGATAAGTTCTTGATTTGACATTTCTATAATAGAAGCCATACAACATTATTGCTCAGATAAATGTTACTAGTTTCTACTTACTACACATAAAAACATAAATAAAGCATATAGAGACTGCATTTGGTTATTATGACATAAGCACTAGAGTACTTGGAAGAACTTGTGAAAATAGCTTATGATATGTTTACAAGTTATTTTACATGGCCATAATATACTAATCAATTCTATTGGAGACTGGTTACAACAGAAACACATATATACAGTGAAATCAATTTCAATATGACAAAGTTCTAATATCACCTCATTGCACTAGTTACAAATTCCACTGAACATCTTACCTGATGCCAGTCGAACATTTTCTTCAGCTGTAGGTTCACTTGCTCCGGCTCCATTGTCAAAGAGTTCAAGTTTTTTATTTCCAATGGTATTCATGTACCTGTTAATCATTCAAGTGATATTATAAATCCTCCTCTCAAATAGGCCAAGCCGCGCAGCAGGAAAAAACTGTTATTTAGCAGTAGAAATCTTCCACAAAGGAGACTAAATTTTTCTTTATTGGTACTGCTAACACAGAGTAGACTTTTATCATGAATTCATGAATTTAGAAAGTTGAATATGCCCATAAAGAAAATTGGTATTAATAATATGATCTGTTCCATAACCTTCAAGAGAACCAATTGTGTGTTAAAAACAGAAATGGAAGAGTAAAGATGAACTTACGTTTTTCTCAGTGCCACATATGAGTTTAGCTCCTTGATCTGCAATTAGAAAAAATAAAGAGTTGGCTGTTAGTTTACATGGACATGGAATGTACAACAAACATGGACAATCCTCAGACAATCAAACTTTTTTCTGACCATCTGGAAATCACTTTATTTGATGTCTTGACAATACCCAGAAAGTAATCGCCAATGGTTTGCAAACTATTTATAAAGTTGTTACATGTCAAAAACAGAATAAGCAGGAAT